ATTATTTCTTTGTACATAGCAAAAGATGCATGTCTTTCTCATAAATTTTGATCGAGATGTGTGCACATTATATATATAGGCTATATTCGTATCTTTATGCAAAGAATGAATCACGTGTTACAACCGAAGATGTATATATATATATATAAAGCAACTAATAAAAGAAAATGAATAGAAAGATCAACCACGATACCGCCTTTTACAGTTTTTTTTTAAATCATCTAATGATTCTACCTCATCTAAATATTGATAAATCACTATAGGTTTCTTGTTAGTATGCATGAAATTTTTAGTGTAAAACACCACCTCTACAATCTTTACACTCAATAAACTCATAAAGAATTAAGAATCTAACAATTAGTAGGGAATGCAGACTCGAAAGCTATTGTGAATATTTAAATAGGTAACACATCTTTAACATCTTTGGGGAGACAATATTGTACTTATTTCATTTCAATTTTCACCAAAATAAATATATCGAAAGACTTATTAGTCAAATTTTCGCATCGGCCATTTAAGTAATCAACAAAATCATTCTGGCAATTAACAGTAAAATCTAGCAACTAAGTTAAAAGTAAATAAAAAATTGAGTGATCATCAAGAAAATTGAGACCCTCAAATGAATCAAAAATAATCTCCATCTAAAAATTTAAGGAAGCTCGACACAAATCAGAGCAAAATAGCACAACTACTAATAAAATATACCAAAAAATTATCAAAAAATAAGAAAATTGGATAAACCAAACTTAAAATTGAAATCAAGATTTATTTGTCTACTCATTTGCGATGGACACCCGATGAATATGGTTCGGCAGCAATCGTTCATCACTTCAGCCAATTTGATGGTTTTGCATTTATAATTGTCATAACGATGTGAAATTGAGTACGATTTAATTAATTAATTGTGATGCATAATTGCCTAATTGTGTTGGATCTAATGTTGATTTATCTTTTTAATTTGGATATATTTAATTTTACTAGGGTTTCATAAATTTAAATTAATTTATTTTCAAGTTTTTTTTCGTGATCTGTTCGACGGAATTTGAAATGGTTTATAAAAATTGAAACACAAATCAAATCACTTCAAAGCGGTTTGCTTCGATTTAAAACTGAAATGTTGATGGATCTACGTGGGACCAAACCAACAATTTTGATTAAGTGGTTTCAATTTTATTTTACAGTTTGACGATTTCGTTTTTCAACCCTAGTTCACACTATATTATTTAATTGTTTTTAGCAAAATATTTTGGGGATAATTGCAGCAGAGATCCCAAACTTTTTAAATAATTAAACTTCCTTGACCTTTCATTCTTTGCACCTGTCACTCCTAACCTTTCGAAACGTTGCGACTGAAACCCTAATGGATGGATTCCATCCAAATGTCTATTAGTTGATCAGGAAATTGAGTTTGACCTTTTTTTTAAAAAAATAAATTAGCAATTTGATCTGTTGAAAGATCAAATAAACATTCAAGTTTCATGATTCATGTTATCAAACACGCCACAATCTCGCGAGAGCATGCTAAGAAATAATTCCATATCGATTAAGTATAAAGATATTAACTAACATATGAAAATTTTGACAACTTTTCTTATGAAAACGACTTCTATAAATAGAATTCTAAATGTTAATAATCAGCCATGCTACAAGTACATAATGTGTTACCTAACATGTTACCGAATTAACAAATGGCGGCCTGTGGGCCCAGGAGCCCCCTCAATAAAGGGCCGCCACTTGTCAATTAGGTAACCAATTAGGTAAAAAATTATGTGCAACAAGAATAATTCATGTTAATAAATATGACCCCAGAGTAATAATTAGTATCTAATTGATCAATTTGGGTGCAAATTAAAAATTCACCATATCTGGATATCCATAACATCATAACTGTGACCATTTCAGAGAAGATGAGAAGGGTCTTTCAATCCACAGGTAACACCAAAAATAAAACAAATTAAATCAGAAAATCAAGCACTGTACCCTATATATCGAGCCAAAAACAGAATTTATGCTAAA